GAGAGAGCTTGCAGACTCCAAACCTTTGAGGGCAAGAGAGGAAGCAGAGAAGTAAACCGGCGCAGGCGGAAGGGGTGGTCAGGGGCGGAGACTGTGGCTACGGGGGATCAGATGTCTTGTCTGTAGGTTCGACCATTTCTCAGCTCCAGGCAATTGCTGCCCTATGGGGGTGAAGGGGCAGGTCAGTTCTCATCCAACTTTTACAGAGAGGCCGGAAATCCAGATTTGTGTATGAAATGTACAGACTGTTTAAACCTTGGTTCAGGCCCCAGTAATCCCATGTACAGGGCAGAGATGGCATAGAAGCAATCAGTTTGTTTCTTCTGTAATATGCTGACATGGCACCTCCAGTCATCAGCTTGCTTTCTCCAGTGCTTGAGCACATGAAGGTGGGAAGGGAAAGGAGACTGAAGGCTGGATGCTCAGTGTCCGCTCAGACACTGCTTCTAGAAAGATACAATCTCAGGAACCCATCCCTTCTCCTGGAGCAGTGGTTCTCGACTGTGGGGGATTTGGCCCCCAAGCAGAACCTATGGAAGTATCTGGAGACATGGGTGGTTTCACAAATGAGCAGGGGTTGCTATTGGCATCTGATGGGCAGAGCCCCACAGTCCCCACAACAAAGAACAACGCAACAACGTATGTCAGTAGTTCCGAGGTGGGGAACAGTGGTCCTCAACTCTGTTACGCACAAAAACACTTGGTGGGGGGAGGGCTTTAAGTTACTGATGCCCGGATCCTACCCCACAACAAAGAAATCAGAGTTTCTAAGGATGAGGCTCAGGACTCAGATTTTAAGTTCTCGAACAATCCTAATACGCAGGCAGGACTGAGATCCATGAGAGTAAACAATAAGCTTCCCGCATGCGTCCATCATGGACCTCCCAGCCCTCCACAGAACCAACTCAGGGCTCTGCTCAAACAGGATATGCACAGATATGCATATCTATTGCCGGCATGGGGGACAGATTAGTGATCTGTCATTAGTCTCCTACAAACTGCGGTGCTGGGCTTGATTGACTTTCAACGTTCTACTGGTGGCTGATAAAAGTCTTTCTTTCTTTCTTTTTTTTTTTGTTTGTTTCTACTCAATTACTCAGTACATCAAAAGGCTACAACTTCCAGCAGTCAGTCAGCCTCATACCAACATGCTTTCCGTTGGAATAATTACTTCTGAGAGTGAAAGGTACAGAAACGATCTGGACAATATACTCATGCCAAAGGAAGCTTACAAAATTAACTCACAATCTTTTCTGTCACCCCCCCCCCGGTCATATGCAATGAGAAGAATTAGAGATTGTATATTAAACACAGTCCTGGAAACTTCCATTGCTCTCACTCAAGGAGACAGGAAGTAAGAAAATAAGAAAACAAAACCCAAACTAGGGCAGCAAGGCAAGTCTAATAGGAAACTACTAATGCTAACCAGATTCCCCTGTAACCAGAATTATTCGATCGGTGACTTAGCCACATTTAACTGAGTTGTGGGCAATCTTCACAGGTTCTGACGGAAGCTGTGTGTGGGTCGAGGATGAACAGGGACTGGAGCTTTAGTACTGAAACCTGCACCAGCCAACCTACCCGCCTGCCAATTGCTATTCAAGGGAGTATACAGTGTTCTCACCCGTGGCTCCCTGGGGTCAGCACGTGGCCTCCAGCCAGGTGTTCAGGAAGCCTGGGGCCTTTATCCAGAGCCCTGGTTGGCAGTAGAAATGCAAGGGTCCAAAAGAGAACCCTGTCCCTGGACGCAGGAGCCTAGGGAGGCAGACCCAGGAGTCAATAAGCTGTTCGACTGGGGGTGGGAGGGTCAGACCTTGTCGGATGGAGCAGGTGCTGGAGGACTCTGCAGGACGGGGTGCTAATGCACCCCTGGAAGAGGTGCTGAGCGGGGAGGGGGCTTTTCAGCTGCAGGTAAAGAACGATTATGCATCTCAAGGGCTCAATGGAGGAATCTGCTTGCTAAAAGGAGCAAGGAGGTAAGGGAGAGCTGGGTGTGTTGGGGAAACCCCAGGAAGTTCAACACAGCAAGTCGTTCTTCAACAGGTTGGGAGGAGTGGGGAGGCTGAGGCTGGAGAGGCAGTAGGGCCAGCCTGTGTGGGTAGAGGGTCCTGACTATGGAGCATGAACGAAGAGGTATTTTTCAAGGAGGAAAATGGTGAGAATCCCAAAGAGGTTAAGTCACCGAGTCAGAGGAAGACACTGGGGTGGGTGTCGGACAGACGGACAGACCTACAACATCAACACCAGTGCCACCACATTCTGCATGACCTGGGGCAAGGGACTAGTCTGTGATCAGGGAGTAAAAATCACAAAATCACACCTCCATCCTCGGGCTGCCGTGAGGACCAGTGAGGTTAAGATGCACAGGGCTGGGCAGGGGGGCAGGAAGGAATAATACGAGAAGGGGAAGAGGGAAGAGGGGGGAGGAAGTCTTCAGTCCATGGAAAAGCTTTTCTGGGAGCCTGGAGACAAGAAGGAAAGTAGGAACGAAGGAGGGAGTGAATGCCCCAGGAATATAACCCACCATTTGGCATTTTCTCAAAATACTGCAGCAGAGATTGAAAAGACTGAAATTGCTTTTTGCTCATTTTTGGCCGGTGGCCTGAGATTTCTTTGACTTTAGGCCAAGCTGTCATGGGCCGTGAGTGACAGGTGGAAGGCCTGTTGCCTGGCCCACGCAGGCTCCTGGAAAAATTGCTGGGGTGAGCTCTACAGTTACGGGTGTTTTGAAGGCTAGATTGTCACAAGGGTCCCTTTCTAGGATACGCATGGCTCTGTGTTCCCAAATCCCTCATTCACCCTGAGATCTGCCTCCATGGGGGAGAAACGTGACTCTTCACTCAACCCTGGGGCCTGGGGCTGTCTCAGTCTCTGACTTGGAATCGCAGGAAGAGAACCTCTCTGCTTTGCAGACAATACAAGGCCTCCAGTAATGTGAAGAAAAGGCAGGTATCTGGTGAAGAAAGGATATGTCCAGAGGGAAGCAGAGAAGCTCACTGTCCAGTAATTGCATTCCACCGCTTGCTGTTTCAGCAGCTGGAAGCAGTCAGGAGCCTGGTGAGGCTCTTATTCAATAAGACTCTTGCACATGCAAGATCAAGGGAAATGCAATTTTTAAGACAAATTTTTTTTTTTTTTTTTTTTTTTTTTTTTTTTTTTGGGTCAGAGAATGCTCTGAAATAGAGACTTGTATGGCTTCAGGACACCAGCCTATATGGAGTCCATTTAATTCTTGAAACAGGACAATAACCAAAACTGATTTATATAACTTTTTTGGGTATTAGAATGTTAATAAAATTGTTGTCATGAAAACGAATAGCTTGTATTTTTATTTTAACCAATCGCAAGGCTTCATCCCTTTTTTTAGATTCATTTCCACTCACATAAAGAAATTGCTTTATCATCTAATTTAAAAAAAAAATCAGTTTTCCTTCCCCTCTGCTCTCCCCACATGGTGATTTATTTTCTCTGTAGAAAAAATGTTAATAACTGGCCAGGAATCTAAATGTTAAAAAGCAAAGAAAAATGAAATCTTTGGAGATGAGAATAAGTGATCGATTTTTTTTCTTTCAGAGAAATTGCCGCTCCCAAAAGACACAGAATATGGAAAGGAGAAACAAGTAATTACAGCTCTAAATTCCTTTAAAGCAGCCACTCAGCCCTCTCCTTCTCATCTTTCTCTTCATCTAGACATTCCTGGACATTTCTGGAGCAGTTCTGGATGCCAGCCCTCACTCAGGAAACTCACAGATCAGAGCAGATGACAAATACTTTTAGCCGATCACTGGAGTGAAATGAGAGAGCAGCCTCCAGCGGAGACAGGTGCCAGGAATTGCATAGGCAAGAGCACCAAAGATAAAGAAGGAAAGGGAAGGCTTCACAGAGAAGGGCGAATTCGAGGAGGGTATTGACAGGTGAGTAGGAGTTGTCTAAATGGAGAGAGGATAAAAAGACATCTGTTGTGTAGGGGAAGCTGAATACCACAAACTAAAAGGAAACAGAGCTGAAGAGAGTGGCTGAGGATGGACGGACGTGTGCTGAAGACACATACAAAGCCAGTGCAGTGCCTAGATCTTATCTTGTAGGTGACAGGGTAGCACGAGAAGGGGTCCTTTGCAGTGTTACAGAAGTCATTTTGGCTGCAGTACAGAAGATGGACCAGAAGGGGGCCACCTTGAGCTGTGAGGCCAGTTAGGCAACTATACCACAGGGGTCCAAGCAAGAGATGAGGAGGGCCCACATCAGGGCCGTGGGGATGTGGATGCAGAAGACAGGCAGGTGTGAGACACACCTGGAAGGCGGGATCAGCATGACTTCATGATTAGTCCCTTGGCATCACATTTTCATGCAGAGCAGAACACACAGAAAACTACAGGCCGATAGCCAATTGGACAATTCATGCTGAGAAGGAAAAACAAACAACGAACAAAACCCCCAAACCCAAAAAACCAAAATGCAAAACGAAACAAAACAAAGTTTAGTGGGGGATGGAAAAAGGTGGGAGGTATCTAGTAGAGAATAAAAAGGCGAAGGGAACTAAGGAAGAGGTTAAATTAGTGTCAGTCTCAGGCTTGGAAGAAGTCTTCTCTGATAAATGGTTTTCTAGCCTTTCTTTACATACTTTTGTTGATGGGGAGCTCATTACCTATAGAGTCAGGCTGTTTTTCACTGATACCCTTGGTAAGCACCTTGAACCATAATCTTTTTTTCTCTGGCTCCATATGTACAGCTTCCTTTGAAATTTTTGCTTTCAGTGGCTCCATGACACTTTTTGGAAACCTATTTGATTTACCAGGAAGGCCTGAGCGATCAGTCCTCCCATCCTGCTGATGGAGGCTCCTCCACCAGAGCGCGGTGGAGTCTGAGAAAAAGTCACGGTGCACGCACACAAAGTATGGAACGCGTGTGGTTGCCCACTGCTGCCCCTGGCCATGGGTTTTAAGCTACTTTGTCCGCCTGAGTCCCCTGCCCCATCCATCCCGTCAGAAAATCACCAATACCGTGCTGTTGCAGCCAGCAAAGCAGGCAGACAGGTACGTAATGCCATCTGCCCCACACACTGGAGTGAAGGAATCGGTCTGGCATTCACAGTTTTTATTGCAGGGCGAGTAGGGGTCCAGGGCCGAGCCAGGTGCTGAGCTGGAAAAGAGAAGAAACATGGAACCCATCAGAGGAAGGGCAACTTCTGTTGGATCTCCCCAGCGACAGCCTTCTGCCCTCTGCTGTGATGACGTGCCCAGCACCCCTTCCTTCTCCTCCTCCGACCTCACCCCTCCCTGTCCCGCAAGGACCAGCCCAGCGCCACCGCTGAGAGCCGTACATAGCAGTGCCAGAAGTGGAAGAAGCCTCTTCTTTATCGTTTGCGCCAATGTGCCTTCCAGGCTGGAGGCAGCCCAGGCTCAGCTCGGGGCCACCTCCTCCGTGTCGCTGCTCATGATTCCTGCAGCCTCAGCCCGCTCCCCCTTCCCTGACCCGACACCACCACCGGGCACAGCCGGATTCAATAACTATCGTCTGTTTGATTGATTCGCCTTCCTGAGAAAAATAACACAAGTTATTTTAAATTTCCTTTTGTACCATTAAAGGCACAACTCCCTGAAGCACGCAAACTGTAAAGGGTTAAGGGATGGAGTGGGTGTTTTTAGTTCTGTGAGAGAGAAACCGTCTCCTTCCAGCACCATTATTTTCAGCTGAGCCTCGCAGGGTTCATAATAAGGACGATGACGGTGATATCTGACAATTTACATGCCAGGCACTGTTCACGGTACTGCGGATATTATTGTACTTATTCTCAGTGTGACCCCGTGGGGTTGACAGAGAAGGAAACTGAGGCAAAGCCAGGCTGAGTCACCTGCCCAAATCTATCTAAGTCGTACATGGGAGAGCTGGGGTGGGGAGGGTGGGGATTGGAGCTCTACCAATTTGGGCAGAGTTGGCAGTGGGATTGTAGGCTCTGAGCCTTTTTTTTTCTTTTTTCTTTTTTAATGAAGAAGAACTTCATTATCGTAAGACCCTGTGCTTTGAACCACTACAAGTTTACTACTTGAAAGTTGGCACAGAAGGCTGGCGGTCTTTCTCTCCAAATGCTGTTACTTACGGCATGCACACACCAGAAGGTGCCACATTTGGGAGGAGGAGGAATGGGGGCTGGGCTGGGGTGGGGGGCAGAAGAGACCCTGGTGGTGGTAAAGTGCCTGGGCTGTGCATGAATATACGGACAACTGCCCCCGCCTGTGTTCTCCCATTCAGCCTGCTTGACCTTGTCAGTTGGCAGGTAAGCCCCGCTCTCCTGTATCTTTGGGATACAGGACTACCGGAGAAAGCCTGATGGCCTGCCTGGAGGAGGAGACCAGCGTGAGGAGGGACTGGTATCCTGCAGGTTGACTCTGCTGCATCCTGGATGCTCCAGACTGATCCCCAAGCAGTTTCAGATTCTCACACAGCAAAGGGGACAGCTGTTGATGCTGGACATGTAAGCGCTCTCCATAATTCCCTCTGGGGCAATTCTGATTGGACTCTAGGCCAAAGTCTTGGGATAATAACTAGAAAAAAGGTGTCCCATAAGAACCAACTTCCTTCCCTTCTCCCTCTTTTCTCCTTTTATTCCCCACCCGCTTCTCCTTCCCATACTTATCAATACCTACGAGGCGTGAGACCCTATAATTACTATGGGAGCCTGATGATAGCTTCTGATAATTTCCGGAATGATTGAAATCTATTCTGTCTTTCATTTAAAGCTGAATTTTAAGGGGCACCTGGGTGGCTCAGTTGGTTGAATGTCCCACTCTTGATTTCAGCTCAGGTCATGATCTCAGGGTCGTGAGATCGAGCCCTGCGTCGGGCTCTGTGCTGGGTGTGGAGCCTGCTTAAGATTTTCTCTCCCTCTGCTCCTTCCCCCACTTTTCTCTCTCTCTCAATCCCCCTCTCAAAAAAAAAAAAAAAAAGCTGAATTTTAAAATAAAATTCATCTGTATTATCTATCTTCAATCATTCCTAAAGTCAAATGCCAAAATGAGTGGAATGGTCTGAGCTCTCCACCCAAAAGGTCCATTTGACTCTTCAACCCCGGGAGGAAGGTACAGAGGCATCATCAAACCCTCCACTTGTGGTCACCACTTGGGACAAAGAGAGCTCCCTGATCCGACCATGGAGAATGAGTCCAGGCATCCCTGGGCTGGCAGGGGTGGGAGCGGACATTTCTGGGACTTACGTGTTTCCATAGGGAACAGTAACCCCAGCCACAGGGCCCGTGTCACAGCCCAGGAAGAGGAAGGAGACGTAGCAAGCTGTGGACACCAGGTTGACGAGCATGGCCATCCGAATGGCCCCGAGGGCAGAAAGACTGAGCTTCTTCACCAGGAGACCGCCCAAGAAGATCCCCAGGCAGGCACATGGGATTGCAGTCATCCCTGGGAGAAAAACAGAGGGGCGGGAGCCGTTAGTGGGGGAAGTAGGGCCCATCGACGCAGACAGATGGGTGCCAGGCAGGGGGCCGAGCCCTGCGCGGGCCAAATTCCCAGTGACCCCCACTGCAGTGCCGCCTCCTCCAAGCTGCCTCCAAATCTCCATGAGGGGGCCTTACTTCTGCCCTCCGGGAACTCACAGAAAACTGGGGGAGACGGACGTGGAAACGCTTAGTTATTGGGAGTCCAAGTACATACGCCGATCTTGCTAAGTAAGGTATCCTCATGGGAAAGACACGGCTGGTGTGGGAACCACCATGAGACAAAGACAGACTGGAAACACGCAGGTGCTCTTTGTGCATTTTTGAGGTGATGTGAAAGGGGACTCGAGATCATTTGGGGATTTTCTCCCCTTTCCTCATTAGCTGGGGAGGGCTTCATGGAAGGGTCTGGTGGCTGTTTACACAAAGGTCCCAGCACTCACCAGCCTGTGGAGACAGCATTTTAACCTGCTCCCAGACCTCTTGGGAAGGAGCATCCATCCAATCAATATGTTTTGTAGCTCTTGGTGAGTAATTGGCATAAAAATTCTCCCCTTCTTATAAAAAGAACATCTGCAAGGCAGCAGGGATCATAAACCTGTTATTTCTGATTCTCAGAGACTCAATCCTGGGGTTCCAATCTCCTGTTTGGCTTTGCTCTGTCCTGATTTGCTTCATTTAAAACTTGCTTTAAATTACAGTGCATCATTTATCCACCGCGTAGACTGTGCGTGGCCAATTTCCCAGTCTAGGCAGTCTCCTCCTTGCCAATCAACAGACCTCTAGGTCAATCGACTACACCAACCAGCTGGTATGTGCTAAGGGAATGCAAATTAATTTTAATATTAGGGGAAGAAAAACATAATCAGGAAGGCTGAGCTCTGCAAGAAAATAGCACAAGTCACATTTAAATAAAACATAGGATATCTCTGTATTATCTGATGCTCTCGGAATACCTACGCTTGATTTTCTCTGTTTTTTGGTATAGAAACGACCTTCATGGTCTAGCCCCCATGTGCCCCTCTCTGCTCACCCCTGGCCCACGGCTCCTCCTTTCTCTCCCTGGGACAGGCCAAACCCATTCAGAACCCCAGGCTTTGCACCTGCTGGTCCCTCTCCTGGGACATTCTTGTACAGCATTTCTCCTTGGCTGGACCCACACCCCCTTCAGAGATGCCTTCCCAGACCACACCATCTAGAGCAGTCCTATACTCTATCCAGGGGCTCCCCCATCATTCCTCACTCCATTATCTTCATGGTTCTCCCCATTACCTGAAGCTGCCTCATTCTTTTTTGGTCTTGTTTCTTGTTTACTCTCCCCCTCCTCAAATGCAGCTTCCCCGAGCACAGGAACCTTTTCCATACTCCTCAGTCCAGCAGAGTTCCCTGTGCCTCGCACAGAGTGGGCCCTCAAGGCTTCTTTTTGGGGTGGAAGAATTGGCCAGCAGGCTGGATCTGTGTGCATGAACACTGGTGTGGACATGCCCACGCCCGGAGAGCAGTCCTGTGCTTTGTTTCATTTCCTAGCGGAGACCGTGGGGAAGCATCACCTAGTGAGGACGGTAACTATGGCAATAACAGGCTTTTGGCGCCTTTTCTCCCAACCCGTCATCAGGCTGCTCTCTTCCTCCCTGATGCGTGTGCAGCCTTGGCATTCAGTTATCAGAACTTCCTCCGAAACTCCCTCCTCATTATGTTAACCTATGCAGATTGAGCCCTTTTTATCGTCACGCACAGATCCACACGTAAATCCATGCCATCGGTGCCTTAATCGTCTGTGCTGCTCTTCTCCGGACCCTGCCCCGTTTGTTGACTTCCAGGGTGGTTCAGAGGCCCTGTGCTGATGCCGCAGGGTGACTGCACGGGCCCCATGCCCTGGGTCTGCAGGAGCCGAGCACTTTCTGATGCGAGCCTTGCCTGGTGCTCCCGGGGTCCGACTCTGTGCCCTGAATGCCCAGTGCCAGCCCTGTTGCAGCCAGCCCTCCCGGGTCCATGCTGATTAGAGTGAGGCCCCAAGCAGGACACAGGGAGAGGCCATGCATGCATGCTACCTGTGTGGACTGCCGGACAGATGGACTGACAGATGGGCCAGCAGGTGGCCTCTCTGCATGGCAGGAGAAGGTCCTCCCCTACCAAGCACTCTGGCAGACAGTGTCACTGGGAAAGAAACAGGTTCGAGAAGGCGAGATTGTTTTTTTGACCTTCTGGCCTGAAGACTATTGATTTGTTTGTCGATAGAACTGTTCTGAAATAGAACACAGCCCCAACGTCGAGGCAACCGTGCAAATGTAATGAGAACGTAAGAAAAGCAGCATGGAAATGAGGAGGAAACGGAGGAACCCGGGCTGCTGGAGGGTGAAACCAGAGACACCGCAGGTATAACCAAGAACTTATGACTTTAATTATAAAGAGACCCGCTTTACCCTCTCCCTGCCAGACAGGTACTAGAGGGCTGCCTGCATTTTGCTAATACTTCTTGGAGGTGACACTTGACGACAAAAAAAAAAAAAAAAAAAAAAAAAAAAAAAAAAAAAGGATGGTAAAGCTTTATTAGCAAAAAAAAAAAAAAAAAAAAAATTAGGCTTCTGCTAGCCTAGCAGTTCCCAAGGAGACGCTATGATCCAGCTGTGTCATCGTAGTAGGCTTTTAATTTTTTTTTTTTTTAGTTGAGATATATTATGTCCTGGGAAGTGTACAAAGCTTAAGGGAGCAGCCGATGAATCCTTGCATCTGTAAACACCCCTACAACCACTGCTCAGATCAAGCTTAGAACATTTCCAGCAGCCCAGGAAGGCTCCCCGGAGGCTGCCCACCTCCCCCTCCTGGAATGATAGTTCCCATCACCATGGCCTCTATCACTTTAATTAACTTTTCCCTCTTTAAACTCCTACAAATATGTCCTCTTTTGTGCCTGACGTCTTTCAACTCTGTCAGATTCATCCGCATTGAGGCAGGTATGAAAATGCTTGCTTTCTCATGCTGTGTGGCAGCACTGTATGAACATTCTCTAATTTATTTACCCATTCTCCCACTGACAGACGTCTGGGCTGTATCCAGTCGGGGTCATTACGCACCAGGCTGCTCTGAACGCAGTTACATATGCAGATCATAAGGAGTGGACTTAAACATTCATTTCTGTCGGGTATATGCCCAGAAGTGGAACGGACATATCCCAGCATAAAAATGTGCTTTTGTAAGCACTGCCCGGGAACTGTCCAAAGTGCTCACACCACTGGGCACTCCCAACAGCTGCTCATGAGAGTTCCAGGTGCTCCACATCCTCACCAACACTTGGTACTATCAGTCCGGTGGATGCGCAGTGAGTGGTATCTCAGTGTGGTTTTAATGTGTGTTTTCCTGATGACTCACGATGGGTTAGCACCTTTGCATTTGCTAATTGGGGCCGTTAGGTGAAGAAATAGGCAGTGTTGAAGGAGACCTTTCCTCTCAGCAGACGATCTGACCCCCTACTTACCAGAGAAGGTAATTCATGGGGCTGGAGCTCTCTCTCAAATGCAGTGCCATACTAGCTGTAGTCTCAGTGGCCAGACTCATGCCTCTCTCCTTCTCTGCACTGGCAGGGCCTATGAGCTCTTCTGTCGAGGGCTGTCCATCCACATCCCTCTCTTTCCTGCAAATCCCCTTCTGCTGGCTCTTTTCCCTCCACTTAGCAACCTGCTCATGTTTCCTAGCAACGCCCCATCTCCCCCGCTCCCCCTCCGTGGACACACGGCCACCTGCTGGGGCCCCTCTCCTCTGCGCCACGACTGAGCTCCAGGAAAGTGTCCTGCAGCCGCAGACTACTCCTTCCCTCTTGTGGGCAGCTCTCCACATGGAGCACGGGCTCCCCAATGGCCACGTCTGGGAGACACAGCTCTTGACACAGGACGTCCCAGTGCTTGCAGCTAATGGAGACACCCAGCTCTCATTGTGTGTGCCCACTCACGCAGCTGCCTGCTTCCTCCTTGGAATTATCTCTTCCTTGACTCCCATGACCTGTGGATTTCTTTCCAGAATTCCCCTCAGACTCCTGTGTTTCCTCACGGTTGGGACTCTTCTCTTTCAGTTCACTTTCTTGCTATGTAATTTCCACTCCCGTGTCCTCCACTACCACCCGGACATACACAGATGCAACAGAACCTCTATTCCCCAGCGGGGTCTCCTTGCTGAGCCCCCACCAAGTACTGGACACTGCAGAGACACACCATGGCTGTCTCACACTCAGCAACTTCAAATGTGACCTCATAATCTCCCCCACGGATCTGATTGTTCTCTGCTTTTTCCAGGTTTCAAAAATGGTGCCACCAGCTGTCCGAGCCAGAAACATGGGCGAGCTTCTCGACTCTTCCAGCTCCCTTATCAGTCATGAGGCCACTTTCCTAACTCCACGTAAGTAATGCTGCTTCCCTTGAGGGCAAATTGGTTTTCCTTACCATGCCAACTCCAAACAGTGGAAGCAGATGCCCGTAGTCTCCTACTGAGAAGGATGGTAAAGCCATGCTTGAGCTTGGGGAGAAGGAGTGCCGCGATCCATTAATTATGTCTGCCGTGGGCAGGGGTCAGGAGGGGAGTGTATGGCTCCCAAGTTCTATATTTGCTGACTATGTGTTTCATGCTGCCAAGGATATTCTTACTTTTTTATGTGCCTGACCAAAGCCTGCTAACCTTTCTGGGTATGTCTCGATTTCCTCTTCCTTCATCCTATCTTCCCCCAAATTCTGCAGCTCACACCAATCTACTGATCTCGTGGCCTGTCACAATGCTTCTTATGTACATTTTATATTTTAGCTCTTTCTTACCACATCCCTTTGGCAAATTTTGCTGCAAGAATAGACTTTGAAAGTCCTTCTGCACACAGACCCCAAGAATACTGCTGCTGTAGGAGCAGCAGAGTCTGGGCTCTTTCTCCGGTGGGCGTCGGTCTTAGAGGGTTACCTGCATGCGAGCAGCCTTCTGCCCTCCCGGGGGGATGGAGGAGCAGACTCACCGAGCAGCTGGTTGGCAGAAGAGGTGGTAAGGTTAAACTGCTGCTCCAGGTACTTCCCCAAGAAGGCAGCGAAGCCAGCCACCACTGCAATCTCCATGCAGGCGGCCAGGATGATGCAGGTGAACACAGGGTTCGAGAGCAGGTGCTTGGTGACCTTCGGGATCACTGCAGGGAGACAGAAGCAGAGGGTTACACACTGCACTTCCAGGCCTCCTGCCGCCACAGTCCCTTTTTGACACACTTTTGCCCATCTCAGCAACCAGCGTTGGGAGTCACCCAGTTGCTCAGGCCTGAAACCTCAAACCTGTAAGTCACCCACAAAGTGTGGAAACTCTGGCTTCAAAATATATGCTCATATCCTGCCAATTAAACAGAGAACTACTGTAAAAGCAGAGACTGTATTGTGCCTTTTCGTAGTTTACTGGAAATACCAAACTATTTTATAAGCAATGACAAATTATTTCCATCCTCCCCCCAAAAAGTTTGGGGTTTGTTTCTCAAAGGAAAAAAATATAATTATATATCATAAATTGTGTTAAAATGATGTTATATCAGTATATCTAAGCATATATATCCATAAGTCTGAGATAAATATTTGTAACTCTATATGTGTTAAGAAAATATACTTAACAGGTTTCAAGAAAAAAACTGGAATTCTAGTGCTTATAAATATATATATATATATATATATATACATACATACATACATACATACGTACATGTGCCCCACCTCTTCTCACCAAGTCTATGGCCACCTCCCTGGCAAAAGCTTCCATGAGTTCTCACATGGGGGACTCCCGGGGAGACCCAACTGGGGTCTTGCTTTTCACTCTGCATCTGACGTAATCATTCCCTACGTGGTAGCCAGTGGGAGCAACTCAAATCACTTTCCTGCTCAGAACTCCTCCATAGCCTGGGTCTGCCCCTTAGCAATCTGTTGACACTTCCTGCCACGCCCCTTTCCCTCCAGTCCAGTCCACCTGCTTCTGCTTGCTCTTGCCTCATGCAGGTCCTCCCCACCTAAGGCTTTGCGCTGGGGGCTCCTCCTTCCTCTCCTGGGATGCTCTGCCCCCAGATCTTTCCTGCATCTCTTCCGTCGTCCTCTGATGGGGTCTTTTCTCATCACCCAGTCCCACCTTGAAGAAGCTGCCCAACCAGCCTGGTGCCCCGGGCTCGGGCAAGAACTGAGGGTGGGCAGAAGCACTTCGTGGCTTGTGGACCATATTAAGTACCACCAGAGCCAGAAAACAGCTCTTGTTGAGGTCATACATTTCGATCATGTTTTATTATACTCTATTTTTCTTGAAGTACGTGGTTTCGTAAACCACTTAAGGTTCCCCGCTTACGTAGGTGCTTTAAAAAATGTGAGATTCATTTTTTTTTTTAATCCTTTGAACGCAATCAATGACACATCTTGGCAGTAGGCAAAGGGGCTCTGCAGGTATAGGAACCAGGACAACCCTATCGCTTCGATATTTATACTATTATTTTATTTTTATTTTTTATTTTATTATTTTATTTTTTACCATTTAACTTGTTTTAATGTTTCTTCACAAATGCTGAAAAATACTAAAGTACAGACAAGGAATAATCATGATGTTGTGGCCAACATTATAAATATGGAATTATAATTTGAAACATTTTTAAAAAATAAATTTGGTAGTTTAAAAAATAAATCTGGTAGTCAATGCAGCTCTGCGGGGTTCTCTGCATCTAGGAGGGCCGATCTCTGCGTTCCTGACGGTGCTTGCCTTTATCCATTCTTCCAGGTCCTCCGCGCCTACCTCTTCTTCCTCCCATCTGTTACATCGAAGGTCCAGGGGGCCCACCAGGCCCGCCCCGTCTTCCTCCACCAGAGCCACCTTGGTCCATGCCCTGGCCACCACGGAAGCCTCCTGTCCCCACCACGGCCCCCTCTGAACATCCCACCAGGAACTCTGCGGCCTGTGAGGCTGCCTCTGCCATGGTCACCGCCCGGGGGTGGAAAGGGTGGTGGAAGGAAGCCTTCAGGCTTTGGGGCCTTACACTGGTTGCATCCTGTTCTCTAGGCGAAGTTCTGGTTTCCACACCCTGGACTGGGGCACTGCCAGTCTCCAGCTCGGTGCTGGACGTTTCCTCCTCCGGGGCTCTCTTGGGGAAAGCCACCTCTGTCTCCTCCACGGCCTCCCATGCGACCCATGGGGCCCCCAGGACCTCCTGGGCCCCCGGGACCTACACAAAGTGGTGGCGGCATCCCTCTGCCCTCACGGGGAGGCATACCACCCCGCAGGCTGTTCATTGGAGGCTTCTTCCAAGCAAGAGAAACCTTAAGTTTGCTCCCTTGAAAATCTTTCCCATCAAACCACTCCACGGCAGACTTGGGTGTTGGTGGGTCTTCATAGGAAACTGGAGCATCACTTTTGGGCTTTCCTGTTTCCTTGTCCAAGTAGGTATGGATCATGGGTTGTCTGGTTTTCTTGTTCAACTTAACAACTCCACACTGCTTAAAGAAGTCTGCCAGATCATCTAGAGTCACATTGTCATTTAAGCCTTGCACATAAATTACACTGTTGTCAGAGCCTTCATCTGGATCTACAGGTGGGCCCAGACCAAGATCTGGTCCTTCGTCCATGGGTCCACCAGGCTTATTGAAGCCACCTCGCTCTCCAGCACCCATTCCACCGCATCCTCCTCCCCGCCCACCTCTGCTCATGCCTCCACGATCAAATCCCCCTCTTCCCCTGCCCCGATTATCAGGGCCACTCATGCTCCAGTTCTCTCCTGGCCCAGAAAATCCTCCAGACTCCAGCCCAGAGACACCCATGCTGCTGGGGCGGTCCTGTCGGAATGAACTCCACTGCCCGTAGCTGCTGCTCTGTTGGAGGATCCTGCCTGTAGGATCCAGTTTGGGGCGGATAACTAGTGGGCGGCTGCTGCCCATAGCTGCTTTGTCGACCATAGCTACTCTGCTGTCCATAGCTGCTCGGCTGCCCACAGGTGTTCTGCTGCGAGTAACTGCTCTGATCCTAACTAGTCGGCTGTGTAGAGGAGTAGCTGGTAGGAGGATAAGATGGTGGTGCTGTGACTGGCTGCACGGGGTAGCTCCCAGGTACCTGGGGATAACTGTAGTTACTCTGTCCATATCCTAGGCTGGGCTGGTTGTAACCCCCTGTGCTAGATTGAGGTTGACTAGTCTCAGCGGGTTTGTTGCCACCCTGCAGTCTTGCAGGTGCGGCGGCTGCCCATAGGCTGGGCAAGGAGGCTGAGCTGCATAGGAGGCCTGGGTGGTAGTGACCGTAGCAGTGGTGGTATCGTAAGCACCAGTGCCGTCCCCCTGGACAGGCTGACTGTACACCCGGGGGGCAGCTGGAGTAGTATAAACAGTGGGAGGCTGTCCATAAGAAGTGGCATAGGCGGTCTGCCCATAGGTCGCAGTGGTCTGAGCCTGGGTATAGCTAACAACAGTGGGCTGTCCATAGGTGCCATAACTTCGCTGCCCATATGCCTGGGTGATCTGTGCATATCCTTGAGTGGGTTGGGCAGTGTATGCACAGTAGCCCTGCTGGGCTGCAGCTTGGCTGTAGGTACTGTAATCTGTGGACGCCATTTTCTCTCCTTCTTGTTCCTTACGCCATTGTTTTAACGTGTACTTACAAAAAAGTCAACTGAAATGTAACTGATACATCACATGTGTGGTTTTATGGCTCTCACAGCTTAAAATGATGCCAGGCTAAAACAAGTAGATTAAAGTAATTTAAAGAGAAGTCTTATGTAAATAATGGTACAGGTGGTAAGCAGATAAGGCAAAAAGTGATGTGCCAGGGACTACAGTTAGGGGAAGTCTGTTCCGCTGTAATCATGATGATATGGAATATTTGGCATGGGGTCTACTTTCCACCTGTGTAAACAGAAAAGATAAAACTGAGTCCCAGATGGAGCAATATTATTCTAAGTCTAGGAAAAACCAGTAGGTACCCATGGTCATACAAAATAAACAGGTGAGCAGGGAGTCTAATGCTGCATTCCAAGGTGATGAATTAGCCAGCTGTCCGAAAGAAGAGAGCTAATTAAACAGGCTCACTCTCATCTCCTAGGAGATGAAACCTCTAAATGGCCCAGCTAATTAGAATAAAATAATAATAGGGGATACGTAAGTTTTTAATAATGGTAACAGACAAGTTCAATAAATCAAAAATGGCAGAACAATGGGTCAGCAAATGGCAGATACACACAGCTCAAAATTTATCATTTCTGTGAAAGATATCAAGTTTCAAAAATAAAAACCTAAAGAGAGGGACTTAAAGATCCTCTGACATAATAAAAGGAACTCAGTTATGGGAATGAACTGAGTCAGAGGACAAGCTCAGAATCACTGTGGGCTGATCAACCCAATCCTGCAATCCCAACTAAGAAACAACCAGAGGTGGTGGCCTCTGCTTTTCTGTCATAGTTTCTCACAAAATTTACTGAAACCTTAGGAAGGTAACTCTTGGATGATATAACCATGTGTAAGCACACACACACAAGTCACACAAAAACCCAGAAACCTTAAATCCATGGTATTCACTCATTTATAACTGTCTTTTCTTTTTTTTTTTTGCAAACACACTGGCCTTTACATGTGTTTTGTTTATTACTTTATTTATTTATTTTTGCAGGGTTTTAAGCATTTAAGATCTGACTTTTTTAGAAAGCAGTTCAGATAAATGGCTAAAAGTGGCTACACTTAAAAATCTCTGTTTAAATGTTGAGAAACTTTCCTTCGTTAAATACACATTATTTTTTGAGAATCGTACAAATATTTAGAGGCCTGTTGACTGTGTAATGTTTAAAAACGTGGACTGCTAAAGAAATACGGAAGATGAATACATTGGGTGTAAACAGAGGGTAATGCGGTTTCTGTCTTTAAACACAAAAGCCTGTTGGATATTAAGACTCCATCATCCTAAATCGCTGCTAATGAGTGAAGGCTGATTTGCTATGGTGTGTGGTACACTGTGACGGCGTAATGTTCCTGTGGTAAGGGACTGGCTGATTGTCTCACTCCACACTGTAGAGAGACAGGTATGGGTCACATCAGGCGACCACAGTGCCTCCTGGTAACGAGTGAATGTCAAACCCCCAGCTGTTTATGTTTTGGCAGATAAAAACACTGTGGCTCGATCATTGTGCTCTTTTGGAATTAA